TTAATGATGTGTCTAGATTAAGTTAAACTGTATCAAACGCTGGTCACATAACACCACTGTGGATGACATAGCCAGTACTTTTACTCCAGTGCTGTCTACGGTCGGCTGATCATCATTCTTGATGATACTAGGAGATTTTGCACTGAACACTTCGCTTTTCCCACCAGTTACTGCCCCGCTGCCCCATCGCATTTTGGTGTCAAAAATGTTTTCCAAGATGGCGACCAGTTCAGATGTTTGTAAGCTCCCTCGCCAATCGGGGGAACTCAGACGGTATCTTTCTAAAAGTCTTGTTCCAGAACAGGACCACGGAACTTTGTTTCGCCCGAAAATGAAAGAACTTGGGAGAATGTACGAGCAGTCGGGATGAATAAATCGGTGCACTGCTTGTATTGCCCACTACGCTGAGGCAGTTTTAGTGGACGCCCATTCGTATGTTGTGTTGAAACCAACGTTACAGGTGAACGTTGAAAAACTTCCTCACCCAGAATTTGTTTCATCATTGAAAGATTTAGCAAGACTTCTCTCTCGCAGAAGAGGTTGACAGTCCAAAAAAACATTTCATATGTCACCTAGACGCGGCGAGTTCACGTCTGTTACAATTATATGTTCATTTTTTTAGTTCCATTTCATTCCATTCCGTTACATTCCATCTCTGTCTGTCCTGTTCGAACCATATCTTCCATCTATATACTTAATGCACTACTCGTAATGTCGCTGAAAATTCTTCGACAGCACGCGACCGGTTTCGCCCTTCTTGGGGCTCATCCGATAGGCGCAGTACCCGAGTTTCCGTCAAACTTATGTTCTACTCGAAACCCAATTGCACATAATTGGCAAAATACACCTATTTGAACACAAATTTGGCTTTGCAAAAGACTCTCTTGGAGGTTAGCTGAATCTCTTGTTTATGATGTTTCTAAGCAACTGAAAAATGAGGCGGCCTGGTGCAGCACATTCAGTTGCTTGGTATTAGGAGAATTAGCTCCGAACGTAACGGGACCACATAAATGCAAATGGAATAACCGTTTTTCTTTGAGACAGATTTCATTGGTTTTTCTTCACTCATCCTTGACAGATGAGTTGTATTCTTAGTGTCACATTTTTGACCGCTTGTGCCCGACGGTGATCAATAGATTAGCCGGTTCGCACGTCCATTGATTTTTTCTGGTTTGGTCAAGCGCACCAGGCGATCAGGCGGCTATCCAGACTAGGGCTCAAGGTAACAAGAAGGCATTAGGGCACTGTGGTCCACAACACTTAGATACATCATAAACGAGAGATATAGCTGGCTTCCACGTGAGTCTCACGCAAAACCAAATTTGTTTGCAAATCAGAGTGTTTCACCATATCTTCCATCCTTTCCGAGTCTTTCCGGAGAAACTGCATGTGAATTCAGAGTAGACCGAACGTTTTCTTCCGAAAATCCTTCATAACCTGGATGTCCTTTTGATGCACTTGAAAAAACCAGGACATCTTCCAGTGTTCCGGACATATGTAATTTGTTGCGTAACTCAGCTACCCCTTGGTACTGGAGTTGTTCTATTGGCAGTTATTACCTTTATATTGCATTACACCTGGCAGAACTTGACACCATGTGTGCTCCTACATTCTTTCATTTACTGTGTCTTAACCCATCAAGAAACAACTCTGATGTTTGGAGGGGGAAATGCCTTATCGGACCTGTGGGCAAACTGTCTAGATGCCGTAAAATGTGATGTGAACTGCATTCGGTCACTCACTGGCGGTCCGTACCAAGTCCATTTGTTTTGATTGGTGCAACACGGTCCCTCTATCCCACTGGCTGGAGAGATGAGATCCTGGTCACAAAGGAACCTGTTAAACATAAGGTTCAGCTTGCTGGATGTCACCCCGGGAAGATATCAAGAAGTTTTGTCAGTACCAAGGATTTCTCTTTGGTTCGGTTTGTACGCCAAAACTCCCGCAGTTCTTAGCCCTTCACATCAAGCACTGCTCTTTCGCTTGTGTTTATTATTACTGTAGTTGTGACGTACTTAACTTGTTAAAAAGAATATGACAAGAACTAACAGAGTAGTTGTTTAATTAGGAATTATCATTGCAATAGATAGGTGCATCTTGATAAACATAAATACAATACGAAAAGTGGAATAAATCATAATGCAACTTATCGGCTGAGGATGACTGGTGAGGGTTCCCATGTGAAGGTCCCGACGCAGAACATTTTCCCCTGCACAATTGCCGCTACACGTGTTCCCCAATTGTCCGTGGACTTGTGGAGTTTGGGTAACTTGCTGTCCTTTTCGCGAACGTGTGAGTTGTTGTATGCAGTGGGAAGAGAGGGGTGTCTATTCTTGTTTGGCAATTGCATAAAGCCGAATACAACTTGATCAAATGTGGTTGAAGGTTGCAGCCTGGCGCGTGACGCAAGTGGTAGTTGCATAGACCAAATGAACGGGCAATTGTGGTGTACATACCATCGGTCAAGGTTGCAAGTAGGACAGGATTTTGTCACGTGATTTGGCTGCTTGTGACGCGTGTCTACCAGATGAATGAGGCGAAGTTGGTTGATGGAACAAGGTAGTGATCGCTACACAGAGACATTCGGTATTTCTGAATGTGATAACTAAAACAACTTTATTTCTACCCAACTAGCTGCAGGTGGACCCTCATATGAGTAAAGAAGAATATAACTTTTAGACGACTGCTTATTATTCCAAGGACTTCGTCTCAGAGAGGTTTGGTAAACAATCGGCAGATGTGTTGCTGGGCTACGTTTCGCCTCCCATTAAGTCCGAAACATTTTCCAATTGGTGGTTTAAGCCATCTTGACTTTCTGTTGTCAGCCTATCGTATCGGCGATCGTCTCTCAGATAAAAATTCGAACCCTGCGTTTTCCTATTCAAAGCTATGTGAGCGAAGTCATGCATCAGAGAAATTCTTCCGAAACTTCACACCGGAGATTGCAGCGCAAAAACAGTATTTTACCTAGTTTACGCCGTAAATTTTATAGAGTTTTGTGGCTGAATCACGCGTTTTTGCCACAGTCTAAAATGTTTCATCACGCCAGTTCGCACGCTTTGGTCTTTGTTAGCAGTGACGTGTTGTAAAGGAAGGAGGTTCAAACATCTTCACGCCTGAACGATGTATTATTTTTTTGTTTCAACAGTTTCTTCTCCAAACGGGTTTCACGGTGGTGATGGAGACTGTAAATAAGACGAAATTGTTGTCGATTCAAAACCGTTCTTTTACCCGATGTTAAATCGTTTGACCTTGTCACGTCCCTATTTTCCATGTTTGATGCGCTCTTTGTTCGAAAATTTCACATCGCTTTCCGGTTAACAATGTGGTCTGTATGCAAAAACCAAGTGCAGTTTGTCACGACCATGTACGATGTGATAACCACGAAAAATGAAGCCATATGCTCAGATTGTAGCCAGATTGTAGCTGAGCTGGTGTAAGAATAGCACTCCGGTTTGTAGACAAAATCAATGACGTTTTTAGTCCATCACTGGATTTCGTACGCATTATCACTTTCTGGGGACTCATCAGATGGGTGTGGGGGGTAGTCAGACGCATAACCTCTTGGTCGAGAATTGTGGGCCCTCATACCCCTCGCAACGCATATGCTGATCACTTCGTATAGCTAAGAAATCTGGGTTGGGTAAAAACTCAGTTTGAGACAGCTGCAGACAGACTCAGACAATCAACTGGTTATTGGCGTCAGTTATAGTCACCAACGTGAGCAAAAAATCTCTCTCCGCGGGCTCATTTAGTAGAAAACCCCAAATAAACAGTTAAAAACTATTGGACAGGAAACCAAAAACATCTCATATGCACATAGTTTGTGAAAACTGACGTGTCTTGTTTAACTTCATTGGATATTTATTGACTAACACGCAGTTGTGATCGAACACTGCAAAGCGGTTCCACAAATCAGTACCATAATAACTTCACTTTCCGTTAGACGTGTGGCGGTGCTTTAACAAAATCAGAGACTACTCGGCTGTCTAATCAGTAGTATCTGCCGTTTCACCCGCAGTAACATGTCAAATCTCTTAACCACTTTGCATGTAGTCACACTCACTAAGTCGTTCGCTCAAACCCAAGTTCACGGCTTGTAACTACCAGATTCATTGCGAGATCCGATGACTAGTCAAATTAATAATTCTGGAAGTTCACTAGTAGTCAGATGATTGATCGTCCTAATTGATCACCAACTGGCTCAGACCAGATTTCACGCCTAATTGATTCATTTGTTCTTTCTTTGATTCATTCACCAGGTCACTCCCTCATTTACTAGCAGCCCATCAGTTCGTTTATGAATATATAACTGCACAAACTGCAACTGTTCTTCTTTACACACGCAGGCAAAGAAACTACACTGCCGGCTTTAGACATTCGCGTGAAGCTGCTCCAAACTGTAATAATACTCTAATATACACTCATTTGCAAACTAATTTGGTTTTGCGAGAGACTCACCTGGAACCCAACTGAATCTCTCGGCTTTGAAGTTTCAAGTGTATATTCTTTAATTTCGTGTAATTTGATCTCAAGTAGAACATAAGGTTGACGGAAACCCGGGGACTGTGCCCCAAGACGGGCGAAACCGGTCGTAGGATGTCGGCGGATTTTCAGTAATTTATGAGTAGTACATTACAAAAATGTAGTGATACTCCCTCAGAAAAGCAGTGGAAGATAATAATGAGGAGGATAAAAACCATTACTGGTTATTCACGTTTGTTATTCATGTTTGTACATTGAATTCAGAAAGATATCGTACGATCTAACATGGTGAAAACGGGTTGCAAGCCGACTGATCGTAATCGTTGCCACAAACACGCACGTCTAGCTGAAACTCGATGGGATGCATCAAAACGGAACACAATCTAGAGTCGCCATTTTAATCGGTTTGTCGCCATAGTTTATCCTATCTTATGAGATCTAAGAAGTTAGTCTGAAGATCTTCCAGCTTATCGCATTTCCTTGACTATCAACACTATTTTTCTTGCTTAATGTACAGCCATGGTCCTCTCTGCCATGCAAGATGGAATTCAAGGCGTAAGTCTTATTGAAGATGACATTTATATATACGTTCTCTTTGATGTGCATTGTAGTGTTTTAATTCCTATCTAACCAGAAGGAGACCTATCTTAAGATCTCACTACAAGGTACTTCCTTGGAGATTCCAGTAAAACGACAAACACTATTCTTCTGAGAATGCTCACACATCGCTGACCACTACAATGCACTGGGAGGTGGGTCGAAAACTCCGGCGGGAACATGAGACGCTTCACCGAAGATTTGCTGTCTTTTGTGACGTCAGTCAACATGTACACACCAAAATATGCTTCATGCAGTCCTCTTCACTAGGTCTTAATTTACCTACCCATCCGAAACTTTATGATGGTGTGACAGCACGGAAACCCAGGCATGGCGTCACTGACATTCATATTGCTTGGTCCTTCAAACCAAAGTACACACGAAGCTCTGGTACAATGAAACTCGGGCTAGCCCCTGAGGTAATAGGCCAAGAATTATCCACCTGCATCTAACTGAAAGACGTCGAAAATAGTCGGTTAATTTGCTCCGTCAGCTAGTGTAGTGTGTTTGACAACTAGAAACGGACATGATATGTTATCTGTATTTAAGAATCGAAAAACTCTCCTAACGAAAGTTCCGCATCAATGCACTACCATAGAAAGGAAGAAGGCCTTTGCTGCGGAGTTATTCATCAGGAAATGTCAACTGACCAGTTACAGTCTATTGGACAGGGGAGCAAAACTCTCATTTGCATCTTATTTACAATAACTGAACATCCATCTTCTCTTGAACGCGTCTGGATATTCACTGACTGTTGCTCAAATCCAAGCAAATGCTACAAAGCGACTCCACAAATTCCGCAACAGATCTCCTCTTTCAAGAGACGCGGAGCGAATTTACAAGAAGAGAACATACTACTCGCATGCCTCCCCAATCAGTAGTGTCACCGTTACATCAGGACAGTAACACTACCATTGCGAAAAAAACAGGGGTGACGCGTCAAAGCTCTGGGGGGCTAATACTTGGGGAAGGCAAAGTTGAAGATACAAAGATGTGTGGTTAAATTACTAAAAAGTTCATTAATTCAGTCCAGCAGCTGAACCAGTTGCCTGTCCACCTATCCGAGCTCAGTTCTTACTGTTTTTCAGGCATTCTGCTCTCAGTGTTGGTACTGTAGAAGTGATTTTCAATTATCGTCCTGAGATGGAAATTTGGTTAGGTTAGGTTAGAATATACAGCGGGAAAGCAAATGGAGATTCGGGTCACAAACGGTAGATTGCATTGTATGTTGGTCATCTATCTTGTTGAAAACAGTGGATCACATAGATGGACGTTTGACGAAGTGATCAAGGAAAGCATGCGGCCAGAGAACTCATCTCTCCGCAATACTGTTATTCCCCCTTCCATGTTCACTGTTGTATCTAAAGGACTAGATGTGCATGGTGAAAAGAAAGAAAAAACATCAGATGGACAACGCAAGAACCTTCATCTTTGTGAAGAATTGGCAGGCAAGTGGAGGGGTAATAGAGAAGTAAATCTGGGACCAACGGTTCTATGACGGGGAACCCTTCAGCAGTCTGGCAATTACCAGGTACCCCAATAGACCAGACGAACATTCACACAGGACTTTATAACGACTCGCAAGCAGTCAATGGGTTGTTATCCAACCGTGTTGGCGTTGGTATACCTGAAAAACCTTAATGAACCTGACTATCCTACGCCTAACCTCAGCCATTTCTGAGTTAAGCGCTTAGATGGACTCATGATCTGCACACAATCGATTAACAACAACAGTATACTGATTCCCTTCAACGTTATACAGGTGCAAAATAGTACAGCAGTGCAGTACTTTGCGCTGAGCGCAGCCGGTCGATTCTAGTCGTCAAAACCAAGAGGTAGACTACCACTTATGTGATACCGATAATAAGCTCTCAGAAAACCTCACTCTCTATCGTTCTTGAAAGCAGAAAGAATAATAAAACGGTACGTATTACACAGCATGTTGTGGCGCCGACAAGTCAGTCAAACAGAAGCGAACCACAGCCGTTGTAAGTAACAATTTACTTAGCCAGCCAGAGGAGGAGACCGCTGGTTGGTTGGCTGTTCTGTCATCCCACGAGACCGCATGGTTAGCATATCCATCTCTAGTGTGTATGCATGTGTACTTCATGACCTCTTTATAAATCGACTTTCTGAGGAGGGGAGACTAAAGCCATGCTAGAAAACGGATTCTGTAATCACCGTTGTACAGACCAGTAGCAGCTTCGTGTTCCATCATGCGAGTACTGTGGCCTGTCGGACCACACTGGGGGTTTCGGCTGTCTGCCTATCAACACGGTTTACCCATTATGAGTCACCAATTGGGCAGGCTGGTGGCCTCAGGTCACATGCTTGCTGCCCAATCACCGGCCTCGTTACTTCAGATCTACACCCGTTGTGACAGACAGCCCAACCAGATAACCTGACGTGGTGTTTGCGGAGGTTCCTCAACATAGTTTGTTCGACTTGAAGCCGCCGGCGAGTCGCCGTGAGTCACAGGTACAGCTCGCCTAGTTGCAAAGAACATCTTGCACATTAGTGAACTGACGGTGAATAGTAGATCTTTACCATAACATGCAAAAAAGGCCGCCAGATTAGTCACTCCGATCCGGCTGGCATTCACACCTGAACGGCACTTTCCATGAGGTTTAGAACTCAACCGAAGTGTATAGAAGAATTGAAAGTGAGGACTTCTCAGCTGTCAACACACATGCGATCAAAATGCCTTGACTAAATAGTAATTTTTCGATAGTTTCATTAGAAATTGAATTTATTTGCGTTATTCTATTCCAGAAGCCGGTACGCCCGGACAATTGGTACCTACGCAGTCTGTTGGAGAATCTACAGAACCCGCTCGATGATGAACCAAGTCCAGGATCAATCGCTGATGCTGAATACCGAGCTTTTGTGAAGCGCAAACCCCAATATATCACGGGTGGCATTCGCTACTAAAACAGTATGAAATCGTTGCCGCTGTAATGGTAAAACGCTGACTTTTATATACAATCCGATGCAAAATAGACGCTCCATATCCGTCTTGAGTGAAATTTCAATTGGGATAACTTTAGCTCGAATGAGTTTGAATGTGTGCCTAAAGCATACGTTTGTCACACGGAAGCATAACCACATGAGAGGGCAGAGATCCCCTTTAAGTAATAGGTGAAGGAATGTAATATCACAAAAGTGAAGACGAGTTCCTTCGCCTTCCTGACGTTCGACAACCAAGTCGCGTGCCAAACAGGAATCCTGCAGACTACGACAGTAACTAAATCGATGTTCTTCCGTGAGAATTTTTGGCATTCTGTAGGATGGATCGAACTCAAAGATAGTGACGGAATCACAGTACTTTCCGAAAGGATTTTTTATTAGTTCCCGAAAGCTTATCTATCCGAGAACTTCTGATGGAGCTAATCAGGCAGGGACAGACGGGATTGACCTCTCGTCAACTGGCTACTCATGAGTAGTCGGATATTTATCTTGAAGGACTTGCAGCCAACCACCCCATTAGGACCTGGAAAACTCCAACCACAATCACGTAATTTAGCGAGGTGCTCGGTATGAGCCAGGGAGGGTGTTAGCAACGTACTGTAATGGGTAAAAAGCTAAGGGTTTTTAGGCTTCCCACAGTAGGCCCTTGAAGTTCCTCGAAGTCCATTGTCTGTGAACAAGTGTCCTTGGGTTTAATATTCTCTACCCGTTCCAAAACAGAGACGTGTGTACTGTATCTGCTTTTCCAAGTGAGGATAAGTGCACGACATTTCGGCCGTCGGTTGACGCGTTCTATGTGGTTGAATCTTGACCTTGCTGAGTATTGTTCATCAAAATTTTGTTCAACCTGCTGCCAACATATTTTAGAAACGATTTCCTTGAGTGAGAAAGCGAAGCTCACCTTATCGTCAAAACAATCGCTAAAGCATACCAATCGTATGGCGGGATCATTTAGGTTTAGAGTGGTATCAGAACATATACTCATGGCGATATTTAATGTTGAGTAGACAGGTTGGGTATTGGGCTGCAAATGGGGCGCTGTACTCACTACCTCCTACGCAATTACCCCATGACTGATATGTATAAGAAACTAGGGTCTTTCGAAACATAAATCAACTGGATAAGCCCAACCTTTCAAAAAAATACTGGAATTTCGAGCAGGCTTACGAACATGAAGCCTCCGGTAGGAGCCCTACTTTCGCACGGTAATCGATCCTGCTGGTTTATCGATCTCTTCCTGTGCATTCGGATTTTAATTTGCCAAACACCTGAAAGTTGGGTCAAACACCAGAAAGTTGGATTGAGAAAACTTTCAGGGGACGATTGGATCTTCAGTTTTCATGATACTCAAAGCAAACCGAAAAACAAAGGCTATAAGAGGGTAATGTGAATGAGGGGATTTAGACTTTCATGCCCTAAGCAGTTACGAGTGCTTCCACCAGTTTTTCTAACAATTCTCATAAGTTTTTGAGCCAACGACAAAATGTATTACTTAAATATAGCAGCAGTAGTATATTCAATGGTAAATATAGTGTTTAAACTGCAGTATGTTCGGAGGTTTTCCTAAGTTTGTTGGCTGTAACCTGGCAAGTGAGATGTGTTTTTGAAAACCATTTGTCTGTTACGGCTACGCTGAACAGACATTCGATTTGGGAGATTCAAGCTTTGATCCACTCTCACGCTAATACTTGAGAAAAGGCAACCTGATGCTGGTGGGACTCATGACCTCAGACAAGGCGGTCACAGAACTCTGGGAAAATCGACGACGCTTTACCGTTAAACTGAAAAGTCAAAGGTTAAAAAGTCAAGCGAAGCTGTTCCATGAATGGAACAATCAAAAAATCTCAGCGTTTTTAGTAGACTCCAACGGCTGAAACACTCCACATAGAACGGGGAGATGAACCAGGATGCCGAGAATTAAATAGTTATAATTGAGCGTAATTGTACACCAATGGGGACATTCCCAGTCCCCTGAATTTGTAGTGGTAACATGCAAGGTTGGTTGAACCACAATATCCGTATATTAGTATTGGTGAGTCGAAACAGCAATCAACCACAGGGTCAATTGCAGGAACGTCCTGTGTAGGTCACGATTCGCAGTGGCTCCGTTGGAACGAGTTCTATTCTACCTGCAAACAATGTATGCTGTTTGAATTCTTTCGTCTCCCGTCGGTATTTCGAAGGCGACAGTGGACGCGCAAAATATAATTTTAAAACTCAGTAGTGACGCCGAAAATTTGGGGGGAGTCTCAAAATGGAGACTACCGCGGTACTTGTGAGGGCTGGGCCGAGATACTGCCAGGTTGACAAACACTCGAGATGCTGCGGTGTAGCGTGAGACATCAGGAAGTCAGCGGTATTCGACGTTCGAAAGGATGTAGTGACGGCACACGTCGTGAAATGTGTAGATATAAAGATTGGTATCAGGGAATCCACGCGGCACACACAGCGCACATTCGCACATGTCGCGTGACACAGGAGAGAAGACCGGAGCGTTGCGACAACACACGTGTATTCAACCGAAACCGGAAGTATGTCGGAGGTACAAAAATAGGTCAGGGTCAATCAGAGGGTGCACAGGCAGGCTATTCTTTCCTGTCCAGAGCTCGTGGTGGCTCGTCCGTGGTACCTGCAATAGGGGAGACAGGGGGGAGAGGCACACATAAGGTCATATGATAGACGTGCAAGCAGATACGGTCGAATTTCAACCGCGCTAAAGCGGGTGGATTCGAATCGCGCACCTTCCGGTCAGTACGTTCGAGCTTTAACCACTGAACATCTGGTTCACGTGGACCAAACGAGCAGTATTTGTTGGTGGTTTGTTGTTGATTTTCAATGGATAATCTAAATCTGCGTACAATTCCTATTGATGAGCCCCAGCGATGGCGGGAATAATATGTGGCTGAGCTTTTGAGAACTGAACTATACCCGGGAGAATATTTGTGAAAGGCGAACCGGCTGAGTTTTCAAAAATGGCCAAACTAATGGATCAGATATATGGGTGGTTAGAATAGATCACACATTCGATCTGCAGTTATCCGGCCACATCATTTTGGTCGGCAGCAGCGTGGTTTAAAAAAATTCAAGTGGCAGATCCAATCTGCACTAACTTAGCGAGCTTTGTTGGAGGAAGAACCCCCCGTGTGCTTGAGCTTCACGAAATCAGACCAGATCGTTTTAAAATGGCCATGACGGCCCTTTATGAAAGTATAATATATCTCTTACTACTATGGTTTATGTCCACTCATAACCAAGTCACAATTTGAGGTTTCTTAGGAAGTAGGCCGGTGGTTTTGTCTAATTCCTGAAGGTGATTGAACACATTTGTGTACAGCCGGTACACAAAAATGGCAGTAGTGCAGTACGCATGCCAAATGAAACCCACGGCGCCCGCTCGGAAACCATTGAAGAGTTGGTCTCGAGATCAGGATGACGTAATGAGTACTCAGAAACCCCTCAATCCCAGAAGTATGCATCATCATAAATTATTATGTGTGTACAAATAGCAGCGAGCTATGCGACTCTATTCTAAGCAAACAGTTGAAAGTAAGCTAGCAAGGGGAACAATCCAGTATTCAAGGTCTCGAGTACCTGTACGATTCCAAAAACATCACCCATAGACAGTGAAAATGAATTCTCAAATAATTGGGATGATTTTCGCTCAAAAAGTCGGTGAATGTAGTTTTGTTCAGATAATCTGGATGGAAAACAGTTTCACTTGGTCCCATAGGGTTTTATAGTACTTAGAAGTACTGAGTGCACTAAAAGAATACGATTTAATCCATACGTTGTGCAGATGCCCATCCATTCTATTCATAAATTTACGAGGAATGAAATTAATTTTTCCGAAACCCGGGTGTTTTGATACTGTAAATTTTTTAAACAGACTTTGTCAAACTGCGTGTGATCACTGTTGACAGCGACATATCTGACTGAGAAAGTTTTTAAGGTCACCCCTGATACTATTTCCAACCTGTTTCAGCATGCGAAAACAGAAAAATAAATCAATGAGCTTTTGCTTTGCTTTGAAAAACGGGAAACTCAAGGTGATAGTATAAATGAATGACCGCATACTGATCCCACGCGTAAAACTTAGCACTCCCGTCTTCTAGCACACTTTAGTGCAACAAGATGACGATCGGCGGTAGCACACATTCTGAGCACAGACACGTTAAATTAGGACGAATAAAACCAAGTTCAAAAGCGGGGGTCTAACAAAAAGCGGTTGTGTACGCTTGAATCGTGTGGATATCAAAAGAGTTTACGATGTGCATTCAGTTTCACCTCAAAAATTTGTAAAACTCTTCACTCCAAGGCTTAAGCGACATCCGCGTATTAGTCAAAATCAGTAAGCAACAACAGTGAATAGTTGAGCCAGCTGTTTACCTACTTGATTGTGGTTCAAAATTAAATCACGCGAAATGTCGAATTCAACGCCAGTCTTCTTCTGTACATCCACTAGCGAAGAGTGGTCGTCTCAGAAGTGTACTTTGAAATGGCGCGTAACCTACTTGTGTAAGTAACGAGCGAAACAGTCTTGTTGTAGCACAGGCTATAGTGGTCACGTCAGTTTTGCAATAGAAGTATTTGCGGTTCCAAATACACCAAAATTTGAACACATGGTTCGATAACTTCATCGTTTCTGCGCCTCAAGAGAGACGCAAACTTGGAATTCAGGATTCTCGGCAGCGAAGTCAGTGGGTGCGTTGAAACAACAACAAGCGAGCATCATTGTAGAGGGCAATAGCTTGATGAGCGACGATAGCCGATAAGCATTGAACTTAAGATGTGCGGCGAAGCAGATAAGTTTAAAAGCGGAAGTAGGTGTGAGGCCCCAGGTCAGTGTGCAAACTTTGTCGAAGGTCTTTTGCATGCGAAGTCCCCACCGGATCCCAACACGCAAGTTCAGTGGAGAAACAGATATTGAACACAGATGTTCCACGTGCAAAAAGTCCCCTCCGCATTGCCCTTACTTCCCTTCTTTCCGCTCTCTTTGGTAAAATATGTGTTAAGTTTTGAATTAGAAGTGTGATGTTTTGGTAAAATCCA